TCAAGAAAAGGCGTTTGGAAGCTGAAAACTGTGTTATATGTTTGGAGGAACTCACGGTTGGATCAAATGCTTCTCGGATGCCATGTTCTCATACTTTTCATGGTGACTGCATCGAAGAGTGGTTGAAGCAAAGCCACTATTGCCCTATTTGCCGGTTTGAGATGCCAACAGAGTGAAGAGCTTTTCGTTTTTTGTTGTTCGTCGAAGAGATAAACCTCCTCTAATTTTCGATAACATGTAAATTACTGTTGAAGAGGTTTACCTTTTCATTAGTTTTGCTTATATATAAAATTAGCAGATGCATCAACCTTAACTATGTATTAGCCTCATCATATATAAATAAAAATAATAACTATAAATGCAGAATACTGATGTTAATAATGGAAACAAACATGAAGAACATATGCAATATAAGTTTCCTTTATTTTTGCATCTTAATATTATTAATTTAACAAAACAAAGTATTTTATATTCAACAGTAAAAAAATATATCACTCACTTAAAAAGTAAATTTAAATCTCATTCTCCAAATAAAAAAATTAATAATTTATTTTCTTTTCAATTGTTGAAAAATGATACATATATAACTTGTCAATATTATTAAAAGTCATAAATCTTACAAAGAATAATTTATTTTTATTTTTATTTTTATCAAATATATATAATTTGTTTTTATTACTATAAAAAATACTATTAAATAGGGGTGGATCTTAATGCCAAAATATTGGGAATTTTTTTTTAGTTTTTCATAAATCTGAAATTTATTTTAATTATGATTCTATTTTCTTTAATGTTTACTAACAAAATTAAATTTTACTTAAAAATAAATAAAATTACAATTTTACTTTTAAACTATTTGATATATTGTAGGAAACTCGTATTTATTTCCCGATGGGAAGCAACTACCCATCACTACAAATGCTTCGGGTTGTGCAATACATGGATATTACACCTCCGATGCATTACTATAACTCTGATGATCATTGTGGTCTGTTATGTTATATTGAATCAAATGGAAGATTGAATCTTATGAACAAGAAGAAGCACTGCAATAAAACTTTTTAATATAAAATCAATTAGTAAGGGAACTGCAGGGGTCACGATGCTAAGAACACTTGTTCATAACCTGGAAAACTGACAGGGAGAAACAGGTTAGAAGAGCTATTCTTTCCAATTTTTTCCCTCCATCTACATATTTATATAGGTGGAAGGACAGTGGTGGGGTTAAAAATGTTTGCACAGGGGATGGGGGCAACCAAAACTAAATCTAGGCTTTGTCAAGATGACTTGTGAAGTTTGCTGAGACTGGAAATTTTTGTTTCGATTGGCTGTAGCAGCTCAGCCAAAACCTTATTGTGGCCGCTGATGTTGATGTACTTCTATCATACTGGCAGCAAATTGATAAATTCTAATTTGACTTTTATTTACTTTCCAAAAGGAAAATGAGAAAGGTGATTAGCAATACTGAAGCAAAGATCATTATCTCCCTATCTTCACAATGGTAGCACCCAAGACTCAAAAAAAGAATGCCCAACTTGAAGTCTTCAAGACTTGGCATTTAACAGCTTTGGGCATTTTACACTTGAAATTTGCTGCACATCAGCATTATTCAGTATTTATACTGTAGTTTCCGGGAATTCTATATAATATGCAGCCTCCATATTTCTGGGAATTTATTGTTAACAATATTAGCTAGTTTTAATTTGCTGCTGTACCCAATTCTTCTCTGCAATCATCTGAAAGCAAGCAGTAAGGAAAGAAGTAACTTCAATATTCAACAAAATCCTTAACAGTGAAAATCATCCTCTTTTATTGTTTCTGAAGCCAGTGACTAATTCACTGCAAGGAATTTGATTAACTATTTTTTGGAATTCTTTGGTTTCAACTATGCAGATACCAAAATGAAATAGCTGTAGTTTTCCATCAGCATATTCACCTCTTGGCTCTTGGTATAATTACGTGTTACTGCTTTATGTTTTCTGCAATGTCCAAAGGCTAGATTGAAACTGCCAATCAGTTGTAGCAAGCCTTCTGCAATCATTTTTTAAATCAAATGCTTTTAAGTATTACAAGTTTACTTCACCTTTGACAACATTAAATTGATTATTTTC